TCCTGCTGAGTAAAAAGAGCCCACCTCTCTGGTCTAACCCAGCTCTCCAGAGTAAAGGTAGGGGCCCATCTGCTCTTCCCAAGAGTTAAGAACTCGTGGAAGAGAAGCACATAAAGAAATGCTTTTACAAAAGCTTGGGAATACAGCAGCGGCTGGAAGAAAGGCTGGAGAAATTCTCTGCCGTGACGAGGTGTGCTGAGGAGCGGGACACAGGGCCTCAGGTGTCCTTTTCCCCTGCCGTCCCTCCCTCCTGGTTTCCCCACCACCTCCACACACATGTGCACAGGCACTCACACACACTCACCCTGTGCCGTCCTGTGTGGAAGGATGGGTGCTTGTGCGTTCCACCTTTATGATTAAGAGCAAATGCCGCTTCCCGTACATCTTTCTGTGCTCCTGGTTCCTGAGTACTTAGTATGCTTTTTAGAATGAAGGGAAGAACCGAAGAACCAAAAGCTCTATGTGTAGTTACTTTCTATCCTTTTGAAAACTCCAGTAGAATAATTCCTACAGATAATTTTAGCAGTGTGCTTATGTGGTTAGAAATGCTACCAAGGATGGCTATTGGGCATATTATGTCTCTAATAAAGAGCATCAGTTATCTTCTCCCTCCCTCCCTTTATTTACCTACTTACTTACTTAAATTTCAGATTATAGCTGTCTGCAGAGAGGCAGCTCTTCTGTCTCTGGAAGAAGACATCCAAGCCAAGTGCATCATGAAAAGACATTTCACTCAAGCTTTGAGCGCTGTGACGCCAAGAATTCCTGAATCACTGAGGCGCTTTTATGAAGAATATCAAGAGAAGAGTGGGCTGCATACTCTCTGAGAAAATATGCGTGTTCGTTATGCTAAAAATTCTTTCTAGAGAAAACTTGTTCCTTTTTTAAATTTTGTTTAAAGGGTGTTTTAAAAAATTCTTAACAGACAGTATATCTGAAATAACATTCACTGGAATTGAGGGACTTCAGTACTCACTGGCCTTTTAAATCACATGAGTACAATGAAACTATCTCTGGGCCTGAGTGTAAATCACTTTTATCTGGAAATGTATGCTGAGTTTCAAAAAAGCAGTCGTTGAGTTTTTCCATTTTTGACCTAGCCCATTTGTTTCATAAAATTACTTTCTTTCTCCAGAATTCATTTCAGTGCCTTCCCAAATGCCAAACCTGTGAGCATCAACTTTATACAAGAATATAAAAAAGTGTATTTGAATAAACACATGGTGAAGAACATTCACAAATCTTTATTTATTTTATTTTATTATTTGCCAGAGGACGCATGTGCGAGACAGAGGAGAGGGAGAAAACATCCCCTCTGGGCATGGTCATGCTGCAAACCTTCTCCTCCATTTCTCCATCCTGTTGAGATTTGAGGCGCACACGCATACACGACTGGTGTTTTTCAAGCCTCTTGGGCTGGCACTTAAACCACACAGTTGGCCAGAGAGATCTGGCTCCCTAGGCCACCAGGTCACAAGTTTTTATTGTTACCGCCAGCCAGTGAAATGGCCAGAGGCACCAGCCAGGCTTCTGTGGCCTCTGTTTCCAAATGCATTCTCATCAGGATTCGCACGTGCAGCCTCTCTTTGGCCTTCAGAACCTCTGCCTGTTGGGGGGAATAGGGGAGGTGGGGGAGAATTAAGCGTTATTTCATATAATGTAATGTCCTTTGAAAGTTAAAATTGCCAAGTGTAAGACCAGTTGAAGCCTTGTGCAATAGGATGTTTTTTTCGTAAATGCTATAAATAAATCATATTAAACATTTGTGTTTTAACTTGTTCATATTTTAAGGTTACTAGCAAACTTTCGGTTCAAAGATAAATCAGGTTGTACTCTTAATCATATTGTCTTATGTTGCATTCTACATATGTGTATTTATATTCCTGGTTATTTATCCTTAGGATTTCTTGACACTTTAATACTTCATAAATACCCTTGAAAAAAGTTTTTAGGAACCAGCAGTTGATGTTATGGCTATGTCGCTGGACTCCCATGTAGTCGACTGCAGCTCAAGTCCCAGACCTAGTAGCTTAAACTATGCCGGGCGCATGTGCATGCGTGCCCGAGATCCCTGGAGGAGAAGGGATTGCAGCGTGACCGTCCCCCCTGGGGTTGATTTCTCATTCTCCCTCTCTCTCTCTGTCTCTTTCTCTCTCTGGTGAGCGCACATGCCCTATAGCCAAAAACCTTTCCCCAAAAAAAGAAAAAATCTTTTAGAAAGTATTTTCCACATCAGAAGGTGGCAGTGGAAGGAATGAGCACTTAAACTTGGTCACTATGCATCTTTGAACATGCTCAGAAAGACAAGTCAGGTAAGAAATAGCTGATTATCAAAGTAACTGGCAGTGTAGTTTTGTGGTGGCAAACATTCCAAAGTCACATCTCGACTACTTTGTAATTGATTTTCAAGACTACATCAGTTAACCAGTACGTAAAACCACCAAAGGAACAAAGAAGATTACTATTTAGAAGGTGCTATAAAATGTGACTATTTGCATTTAAATAAACAAATAAAAATAATATTAAAAATGTAAAGGCCAGGAGGTAGCGTAGTGGTTATGGCACTGGATTCTCTCATGGCTGACCGTGGTTCGAGTCCTGAACCTGGTGGCTTGAAAATCATGTTGGGCACGTGTCTATGCATGCCCAAAATCCCAGGAAGAAAATGGAGAAGGGATTTTCACATGGCCATCCCCCTGGAGGGTGATTTCTCAATTTCCCTTTGTCTCTCTCTCTCTCTCTCTCTCTCTCTCTCTCTCTATGGCAAGCTCATGTGTGCCCTAAGGCAAAAACCTTAAAAAAAAAGAAAAAGAAAAGAAAGTTTCGTTTATCGACACTTTAGCGACATTTCAGATGCTCAATGTGACAGGTATCCATCAGACTAAACAGAATAGATTACCGAACATCCCCATCATTTAGAAGTTTTATTGGGCATTATTAAGAAAATAAAGCTTACACATTGAAATAAGTAGAATTTCAAAATTACTTTCATGCTCTCTGTGTTCCCTTTATTATCTATAAATGAAATTATGAAAAGAGACGACCTTGACCAGCCAGTGGGGTAGTAGTTAAGGCCACTAGATCCCACATGGCCAGTTGTACAGTTCGAGTCCTGGACCCAGCCACTTGAAAAACGTGTGCATGCCCAAAATCCAGGAAGAAACATGGAGGACAAGGGATTGCTGCATGACCAATCCCTCATGGGGAGTGCTTTTCCACTTTGTGTGTGTGTGTGTGTGTGTGTGTGTCTTCAGTGAGCACATGTGTCCTCTAATAAATTTTTTTAAGAGATTTTTCCTATAGGGCACGTACTCTCGCTAAAAAGACAGAGACACAGAGACAGAAAACGAGAGATCAGTCCCCAAGGAGGATGGCCGTGCTGCAGTCCCTTCTCCATTCCTGAGATGTTGGGCACATATGCACATAACTCCTGGTGTGAAATTTAAGTCACCAGGTCTGGGGCTCGAACCGTCGTCAACTACATGGGAGTCCAGTGACATAACCATTATGCCGTCTGCCGGTCCCAGAAAATATTTGTTTAAAAGAGGATCTTGGGATCCCGAGAGGAGAATGGAGGAGAAGGGATTGCGGCGTGACCATCCCCCCTGAGGGGTGATTTCTCGCTTTCTGTCTCTATGTCTCTCTCTGTCTGTCTGGCGAGCACACGCGCCCTACAGTGAAAATCTCTCCAAAAAAAAAAAAAGAGGATCTTGGGATCAGCAGATGGCATAATGGTTATGTTGCTAGACTCTCCCACATGACCACCGCAGTTTGAGTCCCAGACTTGATGGTTTGAAAATCATACCAGGTGCATGTGCAAGTGCATGCATGTCCAAGATCCCAGGAGGGGGATGGAGGAGATGGGATTGCAGCATGGCCATCCTCCTAGGGAGTGATTTCTCACTTTCCCTTGCACTGTGTCTCTCTCTTTCTCTTATGAGCATTCATGTCCTAAGGGAAAAAAAACCTCTTGTTTTGTTTTGTTTTGTTTTGTTTTTAAAAGAGGATCTTAATTTCTTCCCTATTAAAGGCATGGCTGAAAACACAATAAGAGAAAAATGTATGTCCAAGACCCAAACAAGAAAATAAAGGAAATCCCATTCACAATAAAATAAAAACTAGAGCAGTAAGCTTGAACTACACCGACTGAACTCTGGGGCTGGGTAGCAGAAAGGAGGGTGGTGAACTCTACAGATAGGCCCCTCAGAACCAGCCGCCAGCTCTCTCACTGTAAGAGTGGATTACAAAAAAGGAGCCCCTCTGATTTAGCCTGTGCTTTGGATTAAGTTAAAAAAACAAACAAACAAACAAAAAACTCAGAATTCTAAATATGAACTTATCCACCCTTGGCTTGAATTCACACTATGTTCAATACAGAACCTCAAAACCTAGAAATTAACATGAAAACATGGATCCAAACTAGAAATACGTTTGGAGTGATTAGTCGTTACACTATTAATAATGAAAGGAATCTGTTCTCAACCCCCCGCACAGTTGATTATCGCAGCTGAACACTGTGCTTACAAAGGTTTGTAACCCAAAGGACGTGGCGCTCTGCTGGTGGGAGCCTAAACTGGTACAGCCGCTTTGGAAAGCAGCTGGCATATCGAGTAAAACCGAAGACGTGTGATCCAACAGCCCCCCCCCCCAGTTGTATTCTGAGCAAGCCTCGCATGTGTACAGTGAGGCAACACATGAGAGAGTTGATTGCACCATTATTTGTAAGTGCTGAGAAATTAGAAACAAACTAAATATCCTCCAATAAGAGAACGGCTTTATGTGGGAGGGGCAGTGGAATACTATGGCAATAAAAACAGAGCGACGTATAAAACAGGGATAGTGTTGCACACTGGGTGCTCTGCTCCGCAGAGGGCACATGAGAGACCTGGGTTCAATTCCTGACCCGCCCTCAAGCTGGATGGCAGTGGCAGGCCTGTGAATTTCCAGCTATTCAGGAGGCTGAGGCAGGAAGCGCAGTGAGACCCTGACTGAAGTACTGGGTGTGAAGTACCGACAGTCCCTTCTACTTGGGAGGCAGAGGCAAGAGGATCATGACGCAGCCAAACCTTGTCTGATAATACTACCTACACACACGTGTGCACACACATACACAAGGCAGGTAAAAATATCCCAGGATGAAGTCCATCAAGGTTGAGCCAATAAAACTTCACTTGAACTTCTAAATGTCATTTGCACTTCTCATTTCATCTGCATTTCTAAATGCACATTTTAGGAGAACACTTCTGTTTATTTCAAGGTTAAAGCTTGAAAAGTAATATATGCTGTTTAAGGAGACATGTAGAGAAAGACTATATGAATGGAAGTGGAAAAGCACCAAACACTGGAGAGGAACTCCTCGGGGGAAATACTGGGGCGCTTCAGTTGTATCAGTAGTGTTTCATGTCATGGCTGCGTGATGGGAAAGAGGTATAGATGATAACAGTGTAGTCTATACTTGTCTGGCAGATCAGGAGCACTGGGTACAGTGCAATAAAATGCAGGAAGACCCAGCCACAGTGAGAGGGCATTGTGGCAGTGACACCTGAGGCCAAGGGGAAGCCAGGTTCATTTTCTAGCCCAGCCTTTTGGCAAGGTGCAGTGGCATACATCTGTGATCCTCACTGGGAGGCTGGGGACAAAGAGTCCTAAAGGACCCTATCAAAAAACGCCTACCTCTCCTCCTCATTCTCTTTTTTAAAAATAAATTAAAAAGCAAGAAGGCAAATAAGGGATCGGGCTTTTAGGACCCAGGAAACAAACAGGAATTTGTAGACAGAAGTTAGTGTGTAGGTGGTAGCTGTCTTGTGGAGTAGAGACAGCAGACTCAGAAGGAGGACATCTGATTCCATGCCACTGTGATCGCGCAAAGGAGTTGGAACTTAAGAAGTTTAGGTCCATGGGGCCGGCAGGTGTGGTTAAGGGTGCCGGACTCCCACATGGCCAACCACGGTGTGTCCCAGGCCTGGTGGCTTGCTTTCTCTTGCTCTCTTGCTCTGTCCCTCTCTTGTCAAACTGAAATAAATAAGTAAACAAACAAACAAATAAATAAGTATGGTTAGGTCCAGCCAGTGGTGTGGTGGTCTAGGCAGCTGGATCCCATGAGGCTGACTACACTGTTCGAGTCCCAGACATGATGGCTTGAGAAACATTTCTCAAGGTGCATGTTGGTTCATGTCCAAAACCCCGAAGGGAGAGGAGGAGGAGAAGGGACTGTGGCACAGGGGAATGTTTTCATTCTCTCTCTCTTTCTCTCTCTCTCTTTCATGATCACAAGTGTCCTCTGGCATTTTATTTTTACAAAGAATTTTAGAGCATTACACCTCCGTTGTAAACCAGTTATCACCGCTGAAAACTGTGCCATCCCTTTATTTGAAGTTTGTCCCCTTAGAACAGTACCAGTCAAAATTTGCGCCACTATAAAGGGTAGTTCAGGTGTCGCTCATAGCAGCTTGCCCCAGCCTCATCTCAGTGAGGCTCAGTGACTCCTGCTTCGAGTCTCGTGTTTGTGGATTTAAAATCATGTCTGAGCCCATTATTTGGGTTGGTTTGTGATGGAATACATGGTTCCATGGTTCGTGGAAATTTTAAGTTCAGCAAAGAAAATGA